ATTGGTTATCTTCAGTTACCTCAGTTCTTTTTGGGGGTTGCTTTTTCCATTCAGCCTTCTCTGAAACTCTCTTTCTCCACCTTAGATTCTTGGTGACTCTAGAGGAAAACTCTTGAGCTAATTATTGGGTTGGGTCTAGAGAACATTCTAATAAAGACCAAAAGATTTCATATTTTGTTGTTGTTGTTGTTTTTGTTTTGTTTTTTGGTGGTGCTGCAAATTGATCCTAGAGCCCTGTGAATGTTAGGCAAGCACTCCAGACTTACCGGTAGGGGAGTGAGGATGAAGGAATTAGGCTATGACTATGGGGTTTTCAGAGTGGATTTTTGGTGTGGATTTTAGTCTCAGATAACAATTTACGTTATCTGAGACTGAATGTAGTGTTTGGGATGCTTTGCCTATAAGTGAAGTATTGTCAGGAGTTTAGTCAGGCTGAGTCAGAGTAACCTTTCGATGACTCTGGTTCTAAAATGAAAGATATGTTTCAAGGCAGCATTGCCTAGGTCAAGTTCTACCCAACAATCTCCATGTCTCCAAAGCTTGCGTCTGGAACAAAGTAACAATCTCATAAACAATTGTCCAAAAGCAGTTCAAGACCAGAGGAAAACAGTGTCACTTTTAAACCCAACCTGCTGTGGGATGTAAATGGCTGTTTTATTGTTCCTGTGCTCTGGGATTGTGTTCCCAGTAAGTTCCTCCCTAAATATTGGAGAACAGGAGAGAAAGGTAGAGAGTATCTGGAAAGGCCAGCTGTACTAGGTTCTGCACATTTTGAGGATGCTTACAAGGTCTACGTTCTATTATGGGAATTATGCAGCTGGGATTACCCTGAATCAGCTTCAGGAAGCTGACAGGATAAGCTTGGGGGCATTAGGAGATGAAATGCTTCCTGTGAGGTTTCCACTTCTCTTTAGATGAGCACAGGGAAAGAAAATTAAAATGGATCCTATATTTACAAATCTTCTTTCACTTGAAAAAAAAAATTTTTTTCCCCTGAGGAACTTGTGGGCTCCCATATTCTTTAAATAGCTAGACTAACTAATCTGGTCCAAAAAGTTCACTCTGGTCTGATATAGATGTTCTGGGTTCTCCTTTACTAGAGTAATTGTGGATGTGTCCACCCCCAATCCCCCCTCCCTGCAAAGTCTCTGTTTTTTGAGCTCATGGTCTTTGTGGTAGATTAAAACATTCCCAAGTTAATTATATATCTATTTCCCAAATCAGTCTTGTTTTGGCCAACTGTAGTTGTTGGGTTTGTTTCATTTTGTTTTAAACCTTCTATCCATTTTTCCTGCTGTCTTTATTCAGAGATCAAGTATTCAATACAGAGCTCTAAATTCTTTGTTTCCTGCTGGTTTTTATGTATATTTGTGCACACAGGTGTATTGTATATTGTGTTAACATATGTGTTTTTGTTTCTGTACCATTTACATGAAACCAAAATTGGCATATGGATATTAAAATTAAACAAACAAAACAAAACAAAACAAATAATGATGAATGGATCTAAATACCTTTGAGTTCATGTGACTTAAACCTTTAAGAAAAAGTTTGTTTTAAATTGGTTAAGCAGGCCAGGCTTATTTGGTGCATGTTGAGAGCCACAGCCGGCAGGGGCCCCAGCAAACTTCCAGCTGCCAGCTGATGATTGGCTCACTGTGGCCCCAGCAAACTTCTAGCTGATTGGCTCCTCTGCAGTGATGCTCATTGGGCTGTTTCCCTGCCCTTTCAGACTAGGAAGCTGCTCATTGGGGGACATTTTTGGCTCCGCCCACGCGACCCAGCTAATGGGCCTCAAGAGCAGGAGGAGTGGGGGAGGTGGAGAGGCTTGTGGGAAGCCAGTGGTGGCGGTTGGGCTCTGAAGGTTTTTCCTGAGGAGCTGTTTTGTTTGGCCTGTGTGGTTCTAAAAATAAAGTTAGTTTCTTTTGACAAGTGGCTCCTGAATTGTGCCCAGCCAGACTGCGGCAGGTGCATACCTATAATCTCAGCAGTTTGGGAGGCTGAGGCATGAAGATCCTAAATTCAAAGCCAGACTTAGCAATTTAGGGAAGCCCCAGGCTTCATAAATGTGTAGGTTAAAGGGGGCATCAATTAGTTTGCAAAGTTAAAATACTAATACATCATTGCTAAATGTAAATTCAAACACTATTGATTTTTTGAATCCCAGAAGTTATTATATATTGAAATTTATCAAATGTGTTTTTATACATTGCTAAATGGAAAAAAAAAATTAAGATTGTTTTGTTTCTGGACCTTTACTAAAAACAAGACTACTATGAGTTAAAACTCTAACATATGTAATTCTATATGCAAAGAGTAAAATATTTCAGTTGTCTCTTGATTAAAATACTGTAAAAAGCCAAAAGTATTTCACCTTATTAAAATGGAGTAATTTGTCTAACCTCAGACATCTCATAAGGATTGTTTAGAATATAAACTTAAGATAGGGCCAGCAACTAGGAAAGAGATACAAGAAATATATTATAGTATGGAAAAAATAGAAAGAAAAGAAAAGAAAATGTTTCCAGATGAGAAAGTCTTTTGTATGGTAATGTAAACAAGTTATAAGGCTTGTGAAGGGTAATCTCAAAAGATTTGGGTGTGACTAATTTGGGTATAATAAGCACAAAGTTATTTCAGGTAGCTGTATGTTGTGTTAATATATGTGTTAAGGTCAAATTTTAATATACTGATATAAACCACAATTGAATTCTGCATGTGTTGAAGTAACTGGGATGTGTTAAAACACTGATCATCTCTTATCTATCAAGATAATGACTCCTGTGGGTTAGGAGAACCAGTACTATTTAGGAGAACCAGTCCTAAAGGAGAGAGGGTTTTTACAAGTCTGGTTAAATATACAATATTATTTTAGCTTATTATATACTACACTACAGATTCTAAATATTTCTTTAAAAGTTAAACTTGGTCAATATAAGAACATCATTGTAATTGCTTCTTTATACATTAGATGTATTCATGTCCTCCAACTCTACAAGTCTTTAAAATATAAAGTTCACAATAGCATTTTACCAAGCTGGTATTCTCCAAAGTAAAGTCATCTGTAAAGGTAGTCTCTTTCAGATTTATAGAGAAATAACAAATTCAGCTGTGGATTTATTTATGTCATTTAATATTTTATAATTGGATAAAATGACCTGTCATCAATAACCTGACACTGACATATATGCGTGTGTATACACACACACACACACACACACACACACACATTATGTGTATGGGTGAGTGGGAGTGAATCTGGGAGGGGGTTTTAAACTTACTTTTGGAAGGTAATAAGGAGAGTCTGGTGTGTTTAAAGGCTGACAATGTGGAAAATGAAAATATTTTGCTGGCTCACTTTCTCTCTCTCTTTCTCTTTCTCTCTCTCTCTCTCTCTCTCTCTCTCTCTCTCTCTCTCTCTCTCCCCACACACACACACACACACACACACACACACACACACACACTCACACTCACACTCACACACAAGCACGTAGGAGTCAGCAGAGAAGGACCATTTTAGAGAATATTCCTTTCAACCCATGGTTCCTCTATTCACACCTGTCTGGCCTCTAATACTATTTTATCTCATCTCTGTTCTATTATGACCCATTTCCTCAACTCCCAACTTTAACATCAAAAGAAGTCGGTTCTTATTTAGTAAACCGTAGCCTTTTAATTTTGAAGTAGGTTGATGAAAAATGTAGAAGATGATCACCTGTGGCTCTCAGTCAGAGATAGGGAGAGCTATGGATGGAAAATTAGTTCGGATCTATGATAGATGTTTTTCCAAATCGCTAGTTATATGAAACTGAAGCCAGTAACCTTAAAAGCATAGCATTGGGTCTGGGGAGGTGGCTCAGTGGGAGGGCGCTTGCCTAGTACATAGCAATCCGAATTTCAATCCCCACCGCCAGAGAGGGGGAATATGCAACAGTTTACCACAAAGGGACAAAAATGAGTCCCTGTTTAATGGTATGTCACTTCACTGGAACCGTTTTGAGTGAGTTTCAAGGTCATCTGCTTTTTTTTTTTTTTTTTTTTTCCTTTCCTTTGTTTTCTTGGAATAGAACCTGAAGCACTCCCCAAGGAGCTCCATCCCCACTCACCCCGCCGCCCCCGCCCTTCCTTTTTTTTTTTTTTTTTTTTTTTCCTTTTCTTTTTTGAGACAGAGTTTTCATCAAGTTCACTTAGGGCCTGATTAAGTCGCTGATTAAGTCTCCTGTCTCAAGGAGACATTCTACATTTTTTCTGGGCGTGTGGCAGCCCCCTGGGCCCTGTTTTTCTTTTATTTAAAGAAAGGATCAGAAGTTCAGAAAGTTCAGTATTCGTTGTTCCTGAAGTCAGTCCTTATTGAGCGCTAATTATTTGTGAGTATTCTGATATTTGTTAGCCTAGATAAGGAAATGGAATTCTAAAGTATTTGCCAGCCGCAAATTCACATAACATTTTCAATTGCACAGATGGACGTGGGTCGGGGGAGAGTACTCTAAATTCAATATCCAGTGGTGTGTGCCTAACAGAAGTAGGTTCTCCTCAAGCTCTGAGCTATGAGTTTTTGAAGATAACATTCACTCATATTGATACTAATAATACATTCGTATCCCTCAGCCAGGAGCTGTGCCCAACGAGTTCTCAGATAGCAAGGTTTTGCTTTATTCCCCCCTCTTCCCACTTAAGGCGAATAGTAGAGCCTCTAGAGTGCGGGACTGGCAGTAGAGCTACTGTCACAGAGTTTCTGAATTACGATGTTTTGATTGAGAGTAGGTGGGCTGATAGACGCGCTGGCGGGTGGGTTGTTTGGGGCCCAGTAGGGGGTTGGGAGAGGTCTTGTGGGAGGAGAAATGAACTTTTCATTACAAATGGCAAGGTAGCAAGGCTCTGATAGAAATACATTTTTGAACAGTGAAGCACGTTTTCGAAGTCTTACGCCTTGGATTTTGTCCTTCCCTCTCCTCCCCTCCCTTCTGGTCCTGCCCTGTGCGTGTTAAAGCGTACCATCATATTCTTCCGCTATGTTCACAGTCCTGAACCCCAGCGATTACAGCCCAGCCCAGCAGCAACAGGATGGCCTCGACTTCGGAAAAAACTCTTCCTTCCTTGGGATCCACCACTCTAGCTCAAATGATCAGTGTGAAACCGAAGGCAACCTTAAAGGGACCCAGGGCCGGGTCAAGAGACCCTTGAATGCTTTCATGGTGTGGTCTCGCGACCAGCGGCGCAAGATGGCTCTGGAGAACCCCAGCATGCGAAATTCAGAGATCAGCAAGCGGCTGGGATACCGGTGGAAAACGCTTACAGAAGCCGAAAAATGGCCATTCTTCCAAGAGGCACTGAGACTACAGGCCATGCACAGAGAGAAATACCCGAACTACAAGTATCGGCCTCGCAGGAAGGCTAAGACGCAACAGAAGACTGGCAGCAGTTCGCTGCCCGAAGAGCCCCCATTAAAACTGTGCAGCCAGGCGTCCGTGGACGCGAGGCTGCACAACCTTGGGCAGCCAGAGCGCAGTTCAGAAAACCTGCACTGATGAAAGCAGAACCAGCGAAGCCATTCATAGCCCCACTTACTGACACCAGCCAGCGGGCTGCAGCTCCGACTGCTGGAGCCCGGGCCGAGCACCGAGGCACCGCACAAACCTGAGTGACTAGGGGGTAATTTTGGCTACGCAGACCTAAGCCGATGTTCCCTTATCATAGTTTACACCGTGACTTTCTTATGATCAGATTCCGTATGGAATTCCTTTCTCCCGCTCAGGAAGGCCCCGTTCACCTTAACTTTTGTTATTATCTCATTTTTAAACTTTGATTTCACAGTAAGGTATGTGAACGGGTTTAACGCACAAAGATTTGGACGTTCTGAAGTGATTGGACCCACGTTTTGGTGGTGGTTTATCGGAGTACGGTCTCTGTAAAACGGTGCACTCTTCTTTGTTTTTAATACTATAGCTCAGATATTTAGAGGGGGGAAGCAGGCTTTGGGAAAGAAAATGTCGCACTTCCTTAAGCGTGTTAAACTATTCTCTTCTCCAGACAGTGTGTTCACTAGTGGTCTTTCAGCTATTTTGCTGGCCTTACAAATTGCGCATAACCAAGAACCGGATTTGTAAACTCTTGTTTTGTGGAGCCTCCACTCCTCGTTTTGAAATTCGTTGCCTTTACTGGGCGGTGCAAGTCTGTGGGCATGGATGTTTGCTTAGAACCAAGTGTAACATCTACTGGTGGAGTAAAATCTTTGACTCATGGCCATTTTTCTACGTGCATGACAATCGACTTTTCCTCTGTTTCTTGGAAACTTTTTTTTTTTTTTTTGACAATAACAAATCTACCTTTTTCCATAGCCGACCAACTTCTAAGTTTTTAAACCTTGAATAGCGATTAAATGTCGAGAATATGAACAATTCCCGTCGTGGGAGGCAGATAAGGGAGTCCAAGCTGCTCCAGTAGATGAGATTTCAATGAAAATTTAAGCCATAGACGTTATAAAATTTCCATGTACACAGATGTGGAAAACTGGCGGTTTACAGACAAAGGCATCATTTTTTAGGGCGGGGGGGGGGCGGGGGGGAGTCATGTGGATGCCATTTGTCAATTTTGCAATACACACCCCCTCGTTTTGAAATACATTGCCTTTACAATACCTCAAATAATCAAATTCCAACAGTAAAATAGTATACATTAGAGCTAGCTGTCATGTTTTTCAAAGTAAGTTTGAGATTTAAAAATAAGGGAGCCTGTAACCTCAGCATCTGAGGCAGGAGGATAACAAAGTTCAAGACCAGCCACAGCAATTTAGGAGGCATGTTTGGTTTCCTTTTTTTCACCAGTGAATAGCACCCTACCCCTTTTTGACAGCTCCATAGGCATGTAATATAATAAAACAATATTTTGAATGACAACTCAAGTTTCTCTCCTTTAGGCAGTCTCAGAGCCCTTGTCAGAGCAATCAGCTCAGCTTTCTGGGCTGATGTTCCTGATAACAGAGGCTTGGCTTCCAATACCTCCTTTTCTGTGATTCCAGCATATCTGGCTATCATCTGGCCATTGTTCACAAACCTGCTCCCTTTGGTGTAAAGGTCCCAATCTGGGTCTTCAATAGATCAAACAAATCCAACCTTCTAGATTTGTTTAAAAAGTACCTAAGATTTCATGTCATATGTATTGGCCCATTATCACTTGCTGTCAGCAGGGTAGCCAGATTTAAGATGGAGACCATTTTATGGTTGACATTAGTGTTGTCTGAGGGAATGACTTTGCATTTCTTCATACCTTAAACAGTCATCTATGTTTTAATAGTTCCAGGAGTTGATGAGGTACCAACACAATCTAGAGTGAACTTCTCCCCCTCCTACAGTGAATCACAAGTGGTAGCCATCGCCTGAAGTCATGGTGAGCGCCTCCTTTTGCCATGAGGTCAAGATGCTTTGACAAATAAGCTGCAGGTTATGGTATGCTTCCTAATACTGTAAGAGAACTCCAAGGGCTGTACCTTGTTTCTCATGTACACATAGTCTGAACTCCTTAGAGCAGGAGCTTTAATGACACATTAACTTCTTAAATGCAGCTTAGTCAAAGAGTTCTTGACTTACATGGCATTCTGGGGTCCAAAGCAAAGATTCTTTTTCTGTTCCCATTAAGACTTCATATAGAACTCTAAGTATCTTTTTAAAAAGAGAGAGAGAGAGAGAGAGAGAGAGAGAGAGAGAGAGAGAGAGAGAGAGAGAGAGATCTGAAGACACCATTATTCTGTGATTCCAAGTAATTTATGTAACAGTCTCTGGTTTCTGCACTTTCTATGGCTAAAGATACCTCTCAAACTTTGGGTTCCTTGGCTCATCTGGAATCCTTATATGACTTCTTGTTCATAAATCTGAGCCTTATTTGTGAACACCTAATATAACATGGGGTAAGGTATCTCAGTACAGAAACAGAGTTTGAAAGACAATGTACATAGTCAGGGCTAACTATAAGAATGCCATCCTTATAATGAAAGATAATTTAAATTTGATCTAGTCATAACCTTTGTAGGCCTTTTCTAGACTCTCATTAAACAGAGAAAAAGAGGTTTTGAATCTCTGTGGTAGGATATTTCAGCAATACTGGCGGTTATTTTTGCATTAGGGTGCTGCCACTCAAAATAAACAATAATTGGGACTTCCGATCCAGTGGAATGCGAAAAGAATACATTCTTTCATTCAAGCATTGTGAATTACCTATAATTATCACAGTCACCAGAGTATAGCAATTCAAAACTATGCAATGATATCCTGAACAATATCATCTATAGGTCTTGAACAAATCAGTTCTCATCTGTGTGGGGTTTCCTCATGTGAGCAGTAGACAGAAATGTAAAGGCAGACAGGGTTAAGGGCCCCTCCTCAGCCTGCATTTTACTTCCACATTTCTGCCTTTGACCACATGTGGTGTAGATAGCTCATAACCAGTGACCACATTGGAGCCTGGAGATATGCACCAAAATTCTAAGCTACTCCCTGAGGCAAAGCTGCATGTGATCCACACCTTGATTGGACAGGGCCACAAATATCAGGTTTTTCCAGTGTCACTGGACTCAAACACCCACTTCTTTAAAAATCTCTAGCCTATGGTCTTGAAGGCCCCCTTACTCCTCTCCAATATCACATAAACCCCTAGACAATAGCTACCTGGCATCAACCCTCCCTTTCGACTCTTCCCCACTGCAGAAGCTCTGATTTCTATTAGTTTAATAAACCCTATTACTTTGCTCTTGTCCTTTGTTTCTGTGGATCTCATTCTGAATCAGAGAGACAAAGAACCTACAGATCCTTACAGTCAGGACAGTTATAGAAGAACCAGCAAGCTCAACTCAATCTGTATTTGAGGGACAGGTTATCCTTGGCTTAAGTAAAATCCTGCTTGGGGTAGCACTGAGCATGCTTCCCAGGGTCCCATCAGATCATAGATGTTCCTCCCTTCCTCATGGACCTCCAGGAAGTTGGCTCACTTTTCTTTTCCTAGTTGGCAAGTGAAAGCTGCAACTAGGGCACATTTTCTGGCACTTGTAAATGTAATCTTAGCTCTTAAGGGTGGTGAAAATGTTATTTGTGCATTTAGTACACACAACAAATATAGCCTCAGGAGAGGGATCAAATAATCTGACAAAAAGCTACTTCTTAGTTTTTGTTCTCCAGCTTGAATTCAAGTGGTTGGATCAATGGATGCCACTGAGCCTGACCAGCATACTCAGCACTTACAAGGTCGTTGCTGAAAGGTTAATTTTGAATATAAAACAGAATAATTTGTACCACTCTTGATCAGGATGTCAAACAATTGGGCCTCACTATCATTTGTACCTTTGGCTGTTGTGGGGCTTTGAATTAGGAGCCTCTACATAGCTTTGTGCCTCTGTGCCCCATAACTTATACTCTGAGCCTTGAATTTAGGAGATCATTTGTTTCTCAGAGGATCAATTTGGTTGTGGGTTGTGGGCACCTTTGCTTCTGTGAATGATCCTTTTGCCATTGTACTTCTGCCATGAAGTAGGCCCCTCTCCTCCTCCCCCTCCTCCCCTCCCCCTCCCCCTCCCCCTCCTCCTCCTCCTCCTC